TCTCTTGGAGTCTTCCTTCACGCGGCGAGTGTCTCTGACCCTTACAATTGCAGGTATGCTTCAGAGAATCTAAGACAATGAACTTCATAGAATTTTATTCCTTCTCTTTATGTTAAAATTTTGATACAGCTTTTTTTTTCTGGTCTTTTTGAGACAGGGCTTTGCTATGCACTTCAGGCTGTCCTTCAACTCACTTTGTAGCTGAGGATGCCCTCTAACTCTCAGCGATCCTCCTGCCTCAGCCTCCCAAGTGCTGGGATTACAGGTGGGAGCCCCATGCCCGGCTTTTGATACGGCTTTTTAATAATACTGTTTTATAGCCTTTCAGGAGCGGAGAACCAAGACTTTAGTCTTGCTCTTAGGAGCAGAATAGGAAAGTTACCCCTTAAGAAGTCACTGAGTGAGTCCCCCATGAAACTTGGGAGTCTCTAGGGAGTGAGCGTTTGAAGGAGCACAAGCAAAGATGGAAGGAAGGATGACCGGGTGACAGGTGTAAGTTAAACGGGGGCATAATGAGAACAGATCGGATGGTTGGTATGAGCTGGTGCTGGGGAACCCAAAGAGGGAATAAAGAGCAAAACCACAGTGATGACGTGAATAGAGGAGTGACAGGACCTTGGCATCACCGAAAACCGCCTCCTGCCGTCAAGTTTTAAACGGTTTGTGTGTAGTTTCTGGCAGCGCAGTTTGTGAAGGCATAACAGCCGCCACAAGGTGGTGCTCTGGACCACATTTGCCGCCACAAACTGGCCTAGGAGCTTTGCAGTCCCGGCTGCTCTGAGTCTTCAAGGGCTCTAACTAGAGGTCTGTCACACTCCAGCCATCCTCAGTCAGCCTATCATTAGCGCCAAGCCTTCCTCCTGGAGCAATGACAGTGTAAATTTCAGCAACGGCGGAAAAGGGGCAAATACAGCTGTTGTGCATTTTAGAATAATTGCTGCAGGCCATTCGGAGACAGCTTTATAATCACATCTCTTACACAGACTGGTACAATATTTCCCTTTCCTAGCTTAAATCCCCTCAACGCTCGGTGTCGTGAACTTGTGAATCTATTCGACTCACGTGAGTCTGGAATTATCTACGCCCAATTTTACAAAGCGAGCTTTGCAGCCTCCAGGGAGGCGCTGTACTTTCTCATCGCGCCACCCCGCCATTCCTCCTGCCGGGAGCATCCTCTTCCTCTGCCTCTCTGCTCCCAGCCGGCCGTCCTCAGCACAAATGCCCTTCGTGAAAAGGCCCTCCCGTCTCCACCCCGTCTGCCTCACTGGTCTCCATCTTCCCTAGGTCACCCATCTGTTCTCTCCTATATGGTTTCTTTTCTTCCTTTTGTTTTACTACTAGGGATTGATTGAAACTAGGGTCCCAGGTTCTTACGCTGAACTACATCCTCAGTCCTTTTTATTTTATTTTATTTTATTTTATTTTGAGATGGTCTTGCTAAGGTGCCCAGTCTGGCCTTGAGCTTGCATCCTCCTGCCTCAGCCTCCAAAGTAGGTAGGAATACAAGTATGCACCGTCACACCTGCTTTCTAAATTTATCTAATCTGTCACCTCTACCCCAAGTTCCTTAAGCCTGGTTATCTTTGTACTTATTTACTCATTTTGAGACAAGGCCTCACTATGTATCCTAAGATGACCTTGAACTTGCAACCCTCCTGCCTCAGTTTCCCTAGAGCTGGGACCATAGCTTGTGCCCCCACACCTGGCTGATCTTTTCTGTCATTGTATCTCCAGTGGGTATCATATTTCTCCACATGGTGAGTAGGAGAATGAATACGTAAACAGCACAAACTCTAAAACCAAAGACCTTTCTTCTCCCTCTTGAGTCCATGGCAGAGATGGAAATATCCAGAAACTGAGACCCCAGCCAGAATATCGTCCTAGCTGCTGTGACTGACCACATCCAGGCCTCGCCACAGAAAACTCATACATGGGCCTAAATGGTAAAGTTCAAGTCCACCGAGCAAGCCACAGACCAGGAGAGAGCCTCAGTGTTGATAGGGTGAGACGGCACACCCGCAGTGTGTGCAGAAGACCCGAACAACCTGGCTTACTGGGTGAGACCACCGGCCACCATGTAGCCCCAGGAGTCTTCTTCGAACTGGTATAATGGGAGTATAAGCAGAAACCACAAACCACCTTCCTGCTATCGTCTTCTGTATTCTCTCTTCCTCGGGCTTTTAGAGGCCATCTCACTTCCAGAGACTGCAAGAGCCCTGAACTTGGGGCAGCACCTAAGGCAGCCAAAGGGAAGCAGCGCCCGCCGGCCTCTGTGCTTCTTGCCTGTCTCACTGGTCAGGAGCCAACTGACAAGAACGACCCTGCCGTAGCCCAAGCCCTCATCCTCACAAATCCTCACTGGTTGGCTCGCTGTCCAAGCGGAAAACATCTTGGGTGTGGGTGTGAGGAAGCTGGTCCCTTTTGGGTGTCTTCTTTCATGCCAAAGTTTGTTTCCACTCATCAACTCTTCCTTCCATCCTTCTGAAACATTTAACGAGCAGTCACTAGGTTCCAAGCTCTGGGCTAGAGTTGCAGAGATGAACAACGAACAGCTCTCTACCTTCATGATATTCTCAGAATTCTAGAAAAGACACTCAAAGTATGCTTGAATAAGTGTGGTAATGGGGGTATATGCGAGGTCCCATACGATCAAGGGAGTAGGTGTCTATTAAGTAGTTAGTAACCAGCTGGTGGGAATCACCTGGACTTGTAGTGTTTGGTGATTTTTATGTAGCAGATTCTCCCATCATGGTTAACTTTTTATTTTGTTTTATTTTTGTCTTTTTGAGACAGGTTCTTACTATGCAGTTCAGGCTGGACTTGAGCTCACTTTGTAACCCAGGTTGGCCTCGAACACGCAACGATCTTTGTGCCTCAGCCTCCCGAGTGCTGCAATTACAGGCGTGCATCAGCACATCCAACTTGTTTGTTTTGAGACAGGTCTCACTATGTAACTCAGGCTGGCCTTGAACTCATGATCCTCCTGCCTCAGCCTTCCAAGTGCTGGGGTTACAGGTGTGTGCCATCGTCCCAGCAGCGAGCTCTATTTTTAAAACAGTGAGTTTGTGATGTCACATAGCCATACAGAACTAACTCCATGCTAATTAAATTCTTTTTAGAAACAGTAAGCAATTCTGTCAAGGCCATGGACACAAAGGATGGAGGTGAGACACAGCACAGGCGTGTATGAGTCTAAGGCCTGGGACTTTGGCCCCTTGATCTCTGACTTTCCACAATAAGCCAAGAGACACAAACCATGAAGGGTCAGCACCATGGGAGGTTCCATCCATGCTTTATATATGTATTTGTGACTAGAAAATATACATTATTAGTAAACATAAAATTCTGATCTACAGGAATATCCAATGTTGAGTGTGGATGTGGGCTTGAAGTGCTGCCTCAGTGGTTAGCTTGACGCTATTTTGAAGAACAACACTATGGAGTAAAAGAAATTACATATGGGGCTCTATCCATGAAACACTGGAGTTTGGCTAGAATGTCCATTTCTGTTTTTCTCCTCCAGCCTGACCAGATGTGCTCAGAAAATTTGGTTCTCCCTGAATATGTGCATCTGTCAAAATCCCTGTCAATTTTAGCACGACTGCAAGGGAGCGAACAAAGAGAGTTAGCGATTAACTTCAAAGAACTTTGTTGGAGAGGAATAAAGATATTTAAGGCCTATTTTGTGAACTAATTGCATTTGCATATTTATGGGATTTACTGATATAGCAGTAATTAAAAACTATTTAGTAGTCTTAAAGGACACATAACTCAGTTGCTGTTTGCATAATAAACACTTCCTTATTATGTTTGCATAATAATCCTGCTTCTTCTGAAAGATACTGGTCCAGCTAAGAGGTGCCATATCTTACTTGGAAGTAATGGAGAGGCAGAGGGCAAGGGCTCTCAGGCTGTGGAGAGGGGCCTTCGGGGGAGATACACTTCGAGGTACTCTCACAATGAAGGGCCTGGACGGAGCCGCTGTCAGAGAACCGCAGATTCAAACCTCAGATAAAGTCTTTGTTTATTTTGCTCAGACAATATTACTTAAGCAGCCCGCGTGCCCATGCTCTCACGACTCCAAGTTTTGCCTTACGTATATTGATTCACTTGAAAGGCCTGAATGAGATTCACTCCCACAGTCATCTTTCTTAAGAAGATGTGTAAAGGGAATAATTGGATACAATGTGAATAACAAGCTTTCTCGAGATAAGAAGTGCTATGTTTTAGAAGAGAGAAGAGATCATTTCCATGAAAAACTGAAGGCCGGGGCAAGGGGTAACACCAAATTTAAAAGTAGCGAGGAAACAAACTAAACCCTCCTCAGACAGGAAAGTTAGAAAAGGAACATTTTAGCTCTCAGACAGTGCACACAGCAGGGCCCTCAAGGAAAGACCGGTGCGAATCTGAAGATAAGTCACTCACTCACACATAGACCATGAATTCACTCCGATACCTCTCCATGGTGGCAGGATTCAGCAGCAAGAGCTGTACTGGACAGGATCAGCAGACTTGTTAAATGAGCTGATGAAGGTCATAATGTATCTGTACTACACATCACTAACAGTGGCCTTCCAGGCACAAGAGATGGGCACGTGAGAAAGTACAAAGAAAAGGCAGGGGAAGCGCGCCCCACAAGGGTTAACTCAGAGTCGCGCCTTTACTAAAGTGCGCAGCAAGAATACCACGTGGATCATCATCTCAACCCTGCCTTCGCAGAAAGGGAAGCTTCCGCACTCTCTTCCCATGACAGTGTTACCCGCATAGCTATGCTGCCAGGAGCTTGTCTTTCTTTTGTCCTAACTCTTCTTAGGTAGAATCTGACAGTTCAGAGAACGTACAGAAAGCGCCGGGAGTTTGAAGATCCGATCAATCCTTTGTGAGTTCATCTCTTGTTGTTGTTGTTTACTGATTTTGTGAGATGACACATGATACAGACGGAGCAAGTTGAACACAGAGATGACGATGGGGTAGAACATGGGGGAAAGGGCCGGGCTCTCTGGGATGAGCTCGTCTCTGACACAGCCCCATTTTTCTGTCTGCTGTCCCAAATAAACTTCCCATAATTTTGTACCACAGTTCCTCCACCAGGTTGTTTACATTTCTTTTTCTTCGGAAATATTTTTAAATGTGCAGCAAAACTGGCAGGACAGTAGAAAGCACTCCCTGCTCCTAGAACCCCTCAGGCAGCCGTTTGCAAATAAGTGCCTTCATGCTGGGCCTCCACCCTTGAATAGTCAGTGTATGATTTTTACAAACAAGGACGCTCTTTTATGTAAACTCAATATGATCAAAATTAGGAAATCAACATGGCCACATTATACCAGAAATCCACACACTCTGTTACTCCTTCTACATTTAGTGGTTGGCATTCTAATTTAAGGAAACACTTTCTTTTTTTTTTTTTTTTTGTCTTTTTGAGACAAGGTCTCACTATACAGTTCAGGCTGGTCTTGAGCTCATTTTGTAGCCCAGGCTGGCCTCAAACTTGCAACAATCCTCCTGCCTCAGCCTCCTAAGACCTGGGATTACAGGTGTGCACCACCACGTCTGGTTCCCTATCCTTCTTTTTGTTCCTTTTGCTTTCTGGCATGAGATGTTCTGGGCTCTTATATGTCCCCTCCAGCAGCTCTGGCATCAGTCAGTTCTCTGTTTCTTCCTGTTAGGTGAGTATGATATTTAGAATCTAAGATCTAGGTACCAGGTGAGCCCATTCCTCTTGTTCCAACCCCCTGAGAATAGCACTAAAGCATATATATGTATGTATGAACATGTGCACACACACACATTTCCACACATAAATATGTTGAAAATCATGAATTCATTCTGACGACATCGGGGGCATTCAGGGCAGAATGGTCATAGACCATGAATTCATTCTGATACCTTCAGAACTAACTCCACACCACAAGGGTCAGCTATCTCATTTTCCCCCTTTCACATTATTTCCCCTTTCATTTTTGTAATTCCCTTTGCTATCTGTAGGAAACAATCAGGCTATGTTTTACTGGTAGATGAAAATTAGATAGAGAGCTTCTTGGATTCTAAACAAATGGATTAAGTCATTAGAACAAGAATCCAATATATACTTCCCCTACCCTCATTTTGTTCTGCAAAACTTTAGCTCAGACTTGCGCCTCTACGATCCCACTTGTGACAAAAAGCAGGCAGATGTCGGAAATGGTACGAAATTTGGGTTTTGTTTCTAGAGCACCAAGGGCAGCCATGGCACAGATGGCACACAGCAGGCTGTTTGTTATCATTGAAAACTCTCCAAGGTTCTCCATCTCTGACCTCGGGAGTCTACCAATGGAAGGGTTATAATATAGCATTATATGCGGTAATGTCCTCAATCACAAAGCCAAAAAATTTATTGAACGATGTTAATCATTAATACTTCTCATCTTCAACAGGCCTAGAAGTATTCTCTCTTAGGTAGTTGATTTCTGAATTGTGGTCAGTGAATATTTGAACAGCACTCTTATTTATCAAAAATCAATGTCTCTTTTAATTAAAGAGGCTTAGGAAAAACAAAAGGCACTTTTCCCATTGTATTGTTTGCAGTTGTTCCTCATTAGACAATACCAGGATGCCATTAGCTTGGTGTAATTCGAGTCCCATTTTAAATGCTGAAGATGTTACTGCATAAGTCTGATTTAGGACAGCTATTTGGCCCTCAATTATTAATGAAATTAGTGCCCTGAATGTCAGCAAGAGCACTGCCTTAGGTAAAGGCTGTAAAGGAAATCATATTAGTGTGGAATTTCCTCTCCTCAGGGGCTCCTCTTATATTACATTATTCACTTAGCTATCTCCCATCAGGAAGAAGGAACTGTTGGCCATCATCTGATCCTGGGGCAGAACCAACTGGACAAGTTAAGGGGGTTCATGATGGCATCAATTCCGCAAGCTTTGTGTGGGGCTGGTATTTCCTTGGTCCAATTCAGTGTTCACAAAACAGCTCCCGTAAGGATAGCTCACTGGCAAAGAGAACAGCGTGGAGAGGAACTCCGTCGTGGAAAGTTGATCCCATCCAGTAGGCAGGTTTGTATTTCTCCTCTTTAGGACCTGCCCCAGACCTCTGGCAAGTGTGATGGCTCTTCTGCGGCCCTGCATCCTGGTGGCTGCTACAGGTGAGTCCTATAATGATTCTCCTAGGTATCAAGTATTAACCCCTGGAAGCTAGAGACAATAGATCAGCTGTTCACTTTTATCCATTGTCTGTGGAATGGGAGTCCTGTGAAGCCACACCAAGACCCATGATTTGTTTCTGATGTTGTTCCTACAATTACACACAATAGGTACAGCTTCCTATGGGGAGGACTGGGGGGCAGAGCTGAAATTGGCTCTAAAATGTTGTAATTGTTTGTTGCCTCTCTGAAATTGTACTCTCAGAATGATTTCTCTAGAAATCCTACACTCTGCAGCAATTTATAAGGACTTGGGCATTCGTTTTCAGATTTGTTATTATGTATAGCTAATATATTTTTATTATCCAAAATAGTCTTAGGTTCATTATAAGCTTTTAGCAAAAAAAGGCTTACAATGACAGAGTCCTGTGAATTTCTCATGGCTATAGACATGTGTATATATTTTGGTATTACAGGCTTTATACTCAGCCTTACAAAATCTACATAGCTGATAAGTATACCTCTAAGGACAGGTACTAAAACCTCACAGATTTTGAGTTTACGATTTCTCTTTAAAATGCCCAACAAACTTTCTAAATTTCTGGAACTATACTTTTGTGGTGCTATTATGAACTCCTCTTTATTGAACTACTTTATTTAGGATTTTATTTATTTATGTGTTATGTTTTTTTGAGACAGTCTCACTATGCATTTCAGGCTGGTCTTGAGTTCACTTTGTAGCCCAGGCTGGTCTCGAACTTGCAGCAATCCTGCAACCTCAGCCTCCCGAGTGCTGGGATTACAGGCGTGCACCACCATGCCCCGCCCTATAACCGATTCTTTGCCGATGTGTACTAGTCACAAATTTGTGCTGGTGTTTCCCAATGCCCTACTCTCTTGGGAGTTCTCCTAGAGCTTTGATCTGAATTCTCAAGCCTTAAAATGTCACTGGAAATGAAATGACTCTATTACAGAGATGAGTAAGGTAATCAAGAAACTGGAAATTAAAAAAAAAACACCTGAAATTATTTTTCCTTTGGGTAGAGAAGAGAACAGCACACTTACTATTAAAGTATAAAAATCCCAGATGTTTAAATTAAATGATATAAGCACACTTTAATTATAAAAATAAACTAGAGGAAATTTCATTAAATGCCAAATGAATTTCTTAGCAGAAAATAGTCAACATTAAGCTAAAATAAAATAGAAAAATGAAGGTAGGAAACAGAAGAAACTCTTTTTGATGCTATCTCTTCTCGAATGTTTTGTGTCCATGCTTGCTTTTTACCCTAAACATAGCAGAACAGAGTTTTAATCATATCTAATGACAAGTACTTTACCGAAACCATCCTGGAGACACCTGAGGCAAGGAAACCTGTCCTTTAGACTTTCACTGGGTTACTATCGAGGTGATTTGTAAATGTGAGAACTTTGAACTGATCGCTAATACACGGCCACCCTGTGTACTGGAGTAGAAGAAGGTCGAGGTCCAGTTTTATTATCACGAGCCATCCGGGTAAGTCAGTTCATCTTTCCAGCATTCAGTTTGCATAAGATAACTTATCTTTTGGCTATTCATAAATGTCAAGTACGATTTGCAGTTTTAAGGTACAATGCAAATATGTTCTTGATGCGAAACCACACACAGAAAATAGCCCTGGTTGTTTCTGCCCAATCATGTGCACCATCCAGACTAGATGTATATAAATTCCAGCCCCTTTGTTTGCGAGCTGTGTGACCTTGGACAGTACTGACCTCACTGACCTGTGATCTCTCACCTACAGTAATTACACACTTCTCATAGGGCTTTAAAATACTTAGCTCATAAGATTACTATAACTGTTATAAGATCATTCATAAAAGAGGGTTAGCCTACTGCCTGGCATACAATACACATTCAGATATTACCAGGAATTCAGTAGAACCATTCAACTATATCTCATATTTCCCTATAATCTCTCAGATATATGTCTAACTCTCTTATAAAGATATATATGAAGTGAAAAATAGCTCTTTTCATCAGAGCTTTCCAAAGCTCCCTTTAAGATAGGTATATGTGAGAGAGTAGCCCATTAAAACAAGGAACAATACCATTGCATTCTTATGTTCTTTTTTAATCTTTATTTTTATTAGTTCATTAGTACACATATGCAGTACAAAATGATCACATTCCTCGTGGCGAGTTGATACACGTACATAAGACATGTTAGTTCTTTTTTCATCCTCTTCCCCTTGTATTCTTATCTTCTTCTGTTTAAATCTCTCTTCACCTACAAGTGCTTCACAGCTCAGTCCCTAACACATTCTATTTTCCAGAGATTGTACAAGTGAATTATTTGAAGCTGATTATTAGCATTCAGGAAGGCAGGGTTAGCAAGGCATCTTTCCTGAGTCTGTTGATAGCTTCCATCAGTGTCTGTTGAAACATCACTGAACTGTGAGTCATTTAGTGCTTGTGTGAATGTCACATTAGCTTTCAAAGGGCATCATTTACTGTTAATTAATGGTCACTTAAATCCTTAATCTTTCTCCTATAATTGATCTTTCTCTGCAGGCAAATTTGCATTCATAGTAGCAATGTAATTTATTATTTCTTCCCATTTTAAACAAAGAACTCTTTCCCTTTTCGGTTTAAATACACTTCCATTTGCTTATAATTTTTCTCTTTTCATTATTTGTTGCCCTTTTGTTCCTGGTCCTAGCTTCTATAACTTTCTCTTTTTACATAAAGAAACACGTGTTTATCCACAGGAGACCTATGGAGTGGTCCCTAAAAAAGATAGCAAAAGGGCAATGGAGTCTTTTTGAGCTGACAGTATAGGAACACACATTCATTTCTCAGAATTATGTTTTACTGCTGTCTCAGATAGTTTCTTGTACTGAATCATGCACATTTCAGCATTTACCCAACTGAGACTTGAACCCTTAGGAAATGACTACCTCTCAGAAACGTGTCCCAGGTGTAGCTGCCTTTTGGGTTTTCAGTCTGTTGCAAGATCCTACCTCTTCAATTTATTGGGGATGAGAAGTTGCTGCCTATTTGGCCTAGCCCTTGATTCTTTGGCACTGGCCTATAGTTTTGTTTTTTTCTTTTTTTGTCTTTTTATTTGAGACAGGGTCTTGCTATGCAGTTCCAGCTGGCCTTGGGCTCACTTTGTAGCCAAGGCTGGTCTCGAACTCACAGTGATCCTCCTGCCTCAGCCTCCTGAGTGCTGGGATTACAGGCATGCGCCACCACACCTGGCAGGTTTTTTGTTGTTGTTTGTTTTTTGTTTGTTTGGTATCAAGAATCCAACTCAGGACCTTGTGCTCGCCAGGCAGGTGTTGTGCCACGGAGCTTTATCCCTGGCCCTGGTCTATAATATTTTTGATGATGCTTAGGCAATCTCAATCTTGGCATACTAGGAAGAAGAACCAATTAGAACAATTATGTCACCTTGGCTAAAGTGGTACAATCAGCAATAACAGCATCAAACACAGCCTAGAAAATGACAACCTGTGGTAACTATTATTTTGTCACCTTTAACCATATGAACTAGATTGGTGGTTATATAACAAAATATAAAACAAACCAGAAAATTTTATACAGTAAATGTGTCCTCAGTATGGTGATTTTACTTTCAGTGGAGAAAATTTAAAAGGAATTAGAGGGAAAAATAGAGAAATAGAAGAAGAGGAAGAGAATAGAAGCAAGGCTGGAGGACAAAGGAAGATTATGTGAATTTTGGGAAACTGATGAAGAAGACAGGAGGGAAAGAGAGAAGGAAGAAATAAAAATAAGAAGAGACGAGAACAGCTGGGCATGGTGGCTTGCGCCTGTAATCCCAACACTTGGGAGGCTGAGGCAGGAGGATCATTGTGCGTTCGAGACCAGCCTGGGCTACAAAGTGAACTCAAGGTCAGCCTAAACTGCATAGTGTGACCCTGTCTCAAAAAGACAAAAAACAAACAAACAAACAAAAAAAGAATAGAAGAAAAGAGAATAGCAACCAAAAAAACCCTAGAAGCCATGTTCACACTTATACAAAAATAAGAGCAAACAATCAAGAAAAAGCAAAACAATACAAAGGAAAACAAAAACAAAAAAATGTCTACTTCAAGGTGTGTCTCTGCTGTCACTGGTAGACAAAGTGGGTAGACAGAGTCCAGGTCTGTGTTGATTAATCCCAACAAGCCTGCACATTTAGTTCCACTACAGTTCAGGCTGGTTTCTATCTGTGAGGCTGGAACCTGATTTGTCTAGCCTGCAACACTCCATATACCTCCTGCCAGCTTGAACTCAGCTCCTTGACATTCTGTCCACTTGAACTCAGTTCTGCCTCACGCCAACACTGGGAGCCACTAGATGGAGCCAGCCTGTAGCTCCTCTAGGTTCCGAGCTCGGATGACCCTTCTCCAAGATGGCTACTGGCTGATTGCCCTCTCTTGGGGGAATCTGAACTTGAATAACTCACCAACCAGCACAGTCTGCTATGTCCACTGCTCTAATCCACTGGTGTGTTTCTCCATGGGGGCCTCCAGGGTCACCAGTAGCCACTGCATCAAGCCATCTCTCCCATGTAGAGTCAGGACTGAGGGAGAAAGTGCCACTTGCTACCGCCTTCTTATTTGTTGAAGTCTCTTTTCAGTCTCCCTATGGGCTTCAGTTCTCATATCAGACGCTTGCTGGGTCCTGAGGACCCGCTTTCCTTCTTCTTGTCTCCCTCGCATTGCTATATTCTAGCGTCTGGACACCAAATCTCAGAGAGCCTCTTTCTCTGCTGTTCACCACTCCACCATCTTCCCAGAAGTCCCCAACTGAGACTTGAATTGGGAGCTTCCAGGTGAGGTAAAAATGAGACCGCCCAAAGCGAAGTTTTTAGGAAGAACATTGGACTGGCTTTGCTTTATGTTCCTAACTTCCCTCCCCTGGAGTACATCAGTGAGAAATGTTCTCAGGTGCAGAGATTCACAGCACACTTTTTGATAATAACAGTTCACAAAACCCCTAAAAATGGTGCTCGATGCAAGCCACCCAGCTTAGTCCTGCACGCCTGAATACCTGATGCCATTCTAGGCATCTTCTTGGGTGAATAGTTAGGGAGTTAAAGTGCTCATTAGATTCGCAGTTCTGATGGTAATGAAAGTGAATATTCACACGGCCCACAATGAGTCTGGGTTTGCACCTCCAGCATTGTTGTTAGTATTTTGGTCACACTGACACTGATAAATCATAGAAATTGCTGCCTGTGGCGGCGAGTGACACGACATTATTCATAAAGAAATGGGCATAAACAGGATTGTCGCACGGGGAGAAGCAATCTCATTTACAGTTTCCTGCTGGACCGCTCATGCTTTTAGCAGCTCATCAAAATAACCATCAAACCACTGAGAGCCCAGGCAAATTCACACGCAGGACACTACAGCTAGAGCTCATCACACACCATGTCAGGAGGTGTGCAATTTGCTTCAGTCCAATGACTTAGGGAAGCTTTGAATCCCCTAAGGGCTGGCAAAGCTTGTGAACAAAATATCCTTTTGCAATTCAGAGAGAGCCCTCACAAATTTGTCACTTCCAATTGCTGGCGTTCATTTCCCTTGCATTCTGTCCCCTGGCCTCCTCTGCCTCAGCACCAATCGCTGCTCCTCCACAAATCAAGATTCTCGGGTCAGAGGAAACAGTTGTTCCCCACAACCAGAGAGAATTTTCCCAAAACAAAGATCTCATTTTCTGACAAGTGCATTTTATTTAAAGGCAGACAGTGTGAGAAAAGAGACTTTTGAGAAGAAAAGTACGAGTTGGAATCTCAATTTTGTTATCTAGAAATACATACAGATTTCTTTAGGCTCAATAGTTTGTCCGTTACAAGTGGAAAAATCAAAAGAAAAAAATAAGGTGGGAGCTAAGATTTGGCTAAGTATATAGGCAGGTTTCTTCTCTATGCTGGGGCAGGGGGTGATGTGAATAAGGAAAGATTTCTGTCCCCAAGATGGATGATTGCTGTAAAATGGAATGATAGGTATAGTCTGCATTCTTGGAGATGGGTTGATTTACCTGTCTTGACAATGAGATTTCTTTATTGGACACTTAGGCCACCCACTTACTTTAAATAAATGTCTGACAAAGAGCCCTCTAGCTAGCTGAATGTGCGCGGACTATATTCCACGAAGAGCTATCGTGTTGAGAACTATCTTAAATCTCCTAAAGATGCTTTTTATTTTCATCCTCACAGTGAAAGTTTTCCTTTCCAGGAATTCTAGCCACAGGCTTGCCTCATCTCAAGGATTCTGCCCTGCATCATCTCACCAAACAGCTGCTACAGCAATATCACAAGGAAGTGAGACCCGTTCACAACTGGGTTGAACCCACCACTGTCTACCTAGACCTATTTGTCTACGCTGTGTTGGATGTGGTAAGGAGCACCTTGTCCTTTCTTATTCTTGTCCTTTCTTATTCTTGTTCCCCTGTTTTGAAACTACCTGAAGTCTATGTGGGAGCCTGGAAGAAGTTTTATTCTTAAGACTAGCTGAGCTGTTAAAGAAGTTGTGCTAGATTCATTTTAGCAGTTAGCCTGAGGTAAAATATTGATCTGGCAAATCATGCTTTCTAGACTTCCACTTACAGAGTATAAGACAAACAGTATAGAAATATCAATGGTATCAAGATGTTTTAGGAGCCAGGCATGGTGGCACGTACCTGTAATCCCAGCACTCGGGAGGCTGAGGCAGGAGGATCATTGTGAGTTCGAGACCAGCTTGGGCTACAAAGTGAGCTCAAGGCCAGCCTGAATTGCATAGCGAGATCCTGTCTCAAAAAGACAAAAAAACAAAAAGATGCTTTAGGAATCATGGTTGTAGATCAGAGTACATATTTTATGAATATTGCTGAAATCCAGGATGATAATAGGCCTCTTTTCCTGTGATTCACATTTATTAGTGGAAATAGTAGATTTAAGAAAAGATCTCTTACTCATTGCCTGAAATTTGAAAGAGAAAAACACCCTAGTACCATGAGTTTATAAAAGGGCTTTTATATCTAAAGTGTTTCCCAAGGCTGGCAGGGAGGACTTGCTTATTAAAGCACCCCTTTCCTGTTGTTTCTGAAAGATAGGTCATAGGAAGGAAATGAGAAAACTTATGTAAATCTGTTAGCAGAGTTCTTAGTAAACCCTCCAAAAAGCCTGGCGTGGTGGCGCACGCCTGTAATGCCAGCACTTGGAAGGCTGAGGCTGGAGGATCGTTGTGAGTTTGAGACCAGCCTGGGCTACAAAGTGAGGTCAAGGCCAGCCTGAGCTGCATAGCGAGACCCTATCTGAATAAGACAGAACAAAACAAAACAAAACAAAACAAGACCCTCCATAAATGATGGCCCCGATGGTTATCCTCTGTTCCTTCCTCTTTTTCCTTACTACAAATCTTCAATATAAATAGATCCCAGGTTTATCCTGGTTTCTCTTAAAAACATACTTTAAGTTTTGTTACGGTAGTTTAGTAATTGTTTTATAATTTAATACTCTTTTTCTCTTTGGTACCGGAAATTGAACTCAGGACCTTGTACTTGCCAGGCAGGTGCTTGTGCCCCTGAGCTATATCCCCGGCCCTACAATTTAATTCTTAAAACTTTCTCTCTTTTTTCATGATGAGAATTGAAGCCAGGGCTTCACGTATGGCAGGCAGACATTCTATCACTGAGCTATAGTCCCATTTCACTTCTTGAAATTAAGATATAAATACATGTATTGAAATGTACAGGTTTTAGGAGTAGAGTTTGGTCAGTGATTTTGACAGTTACACACCCACATAATTCCTACTTCATGCCTCAGCCTCCTAAGGGCTAGGATTACAGGGACGTGCCACCACACCTGGCCTACCTTTTATTTTTTAAAGGTAGAAAGATTTGAATCATTCCTGAAAGATTGTTCATTCCCTTCCTATTTCTTTCTCAGCCCCTCTGTCCACAGACAAATATGATTTTTATTTCATCTGTCAGTGATTAGTTTTTTCACTTCTAGAACTTCATATGAGTTAAGTTTGATTTATAAATTTTTTTCTTGTCTTGGCTTTTTGTGTGGGGCAGTGCTTTACTAGGGGTCAAAGCAGTGCTTTTTCCTGATAGATAAGCACTCTCCCATTGAGCTACATTTCTAGTCTGGTAATTTGTATTAGTGAAGGGAATTTGACTATTTCATTCACGTCGTCAAATTTATTGGCTTCAAATTGTTCAGAGTTTTCCTTTTTATTAACTTAGTATCTATACTATGTCTAGTGATATGGCCTCCCTTACGCCACACATTGTTTTTGTTTTGCTTTGCTTTGGGTTTTTTTTCTTTCTTTCTTTCTTTTTGTGGTAGTGTGGATTGAATTTGGGTCCTTCACACTGAGCTACATTCCCAGCCCAGAGCGCTTGGATGGCAGGGGTGCACCACCGTGCCTGGTTTAGGCCTCGTGTTGGTAACTTGTTTCTTCTCATATCTTTCCCTTGACTAATCTTTTTTTTTTTTTCCCCTTGACTAATCTTTCCAAAAGTTTATCAATTTTATGTGCTTTTTCAAAGAATTTGCTTTTTCAAAGATTTGGGCTTTGTAATTTTCTCTATTATCTGCTTTCTATTTCTCTGGTATCTGCTATTATCTTTATTATTTCTTTTTCTTGCTTTAGGATTAATTTGCACACACACCCCGCCCCCACCTTTTTTCTTTCTTTTCTTGTTTCTTTGTGTTTTGTTTTTTTGAGACAGGGTCTTGGTGTGTAGCACAGGCTGGCCTCAAACTCACAGTGATCCTCCTGCCTCACAGTGCTGGGATCACAGGCATGGATCCGCTGTCGCTCCCTCCCCCTCTCCCTCTCACTGTCTGTCTGTCTGTCTCTGTCTCTCTCTCTCTTTCTTTCTTTCATTCTCTTTTTGAGACAGGGTTTTTCTATGACGTTCAGACTGGCCTTGAACTCACTTTGTAGCCCAGGTTTGCCACGAAGTTGAAGCAGTTCTTCTACCTCAGCTTCCCTAGTGCTGGGATTACACATGTGTGCCACCATACCCAGCATTTTTTTTTTCCAGTCTAATTTCTTAAGTAGAAATGTAGAGACATAATTTTAAAATTTATTTTTTGTTCTAATATAAGCATTTATTGCCCTCTAAACACAACTTTAGTTGCATTGTAGAAATTTTGATGCTTTGTTTTTTGTCTTTTTGAGACAGGGTCTCACCATACAGTACAGGCTGGCCTTGAGCTCACTTTGTTGCCGAGGCTGGTCTCAAACTCACAATGATCCTCCTGCCTCAGCCTCCTAAGGGCTAGGATTACAGGCATGTGCCACCACATGTGGCTTACCTTTTATTTTTTTAAAAAGAAAAAACACTAAAAAAGAATGATACAAAATTTCAAACCAAGATGGAGAGTAACAATGGTTAATATATTGCTTACTGTTATCTTCAAATTAATTGCTCAGATTATGTGATATAGGCATGAAAAAGTGATCAAATGATATAAGCACAAACCTTTTTTTAATGAACTAATAGAAATTATTAGTATAAAAAATTAGTAGTATAACTATCTTACATGTGTATATATATAC